TTTTTAAAAAAAAAAAAACAAAAATATGAGCATTTTGTCGCTGCTTACGCCATGCCCGTTGTAGTCGTCGTGCTCGCAATCACCATCTCCTTGCCCACTGTTACCATTTTCCCGCCGAAAAAGCACTGTACTGATGGCCGGCCTATTCCTCAACCAATATGGCTTTCCTTCTTTCGTCTCCAGATTTAGATACGAATAAGGAGAGAAGAAGAAGACAAACATGGTTAAACGTTGTCGGTCATGACTGCCTTAAATGTTTTTTTTTTTTTAATAATTATTTCTCTTCCTTTCCCTTATTCGTCTCCAAATCTGGAGAGTGGAGACAGAATGAAGGAGGGGAGAACAAGGTATCTATGGTTAGCTGCCTTCAACTTTTTTTTTTTTTTTTTTTTTTAAATTTAAATAAAGCTTTTCTTTCTTCGTCTCCACATCTAGAAATGAATTAGGGAAGAAGAAGGACCCTTCTTCATATCTGGAGTCAAAGGAGGAGGGAAGAAGGCAACCATGACAATTGATCGTGACTGCCTTCAACGATTATTTGTTGTTGTTTTTTTTTTTTAATTAAAAATTATTATTTTTTATTTAAAAAGAATGACATGCATTTGGTACAATGTAGAAAGTTTCTAACGTTTATCAGGGATTAATATTGTTTTTGGGCTTGGATGCAAAAAATCACAAGTTGATGTGTCTAATTGCTACTTTTAAAAGTTTAATGGTCTAATTAACTTCTCATATAAACATTTAGATAATATAATTAGGTTTAATTCACTCAAAGTTTAAAATTGATATATATAAATTTCAATTGATTCAAATAAAACTCAGATCACCCCTAGTCATATATGCAGGGTTGTAAAATTCATATAAATTTCAAGTGATTCAAATAACACCTACCCCTAATCATATACTTATTGATATAAATTAAACTTTTTAATTAAAATAAAATTGCATATTAATAGTATATATCAATATATGTCATCCCAAAAGTACTTTCTTGTTTTAGGTGATGAGACCCTTTCATTTGGATGCTTTCCTTCAGCCTCATTCTCTTCAGCTTTGTATTTTTTTTTTTAATGAATAAATTATTTAATTATCAGCTATGGCTCTTCAATGCAAGCATGATCAAAGGATCTACTTAATTTAATTATTTATATTAGGGTTTGACCACCACAAACCTCCATATATGTCAAACCCTAGCTTAGTTATCTCTGACAATTTTTGCTTTAAACCACCTAGTAGTTGTCAAAGCCAACTTGTTCCTAAATTTTATTAGTGATGAATTGCAAGTTTATATTCATTAAAAAAAAATTGTCTCCATTTACGCTCAACTAATCAACAAATCTAAAATAAGTTCATAAATTTTGTTTTGCTAACAGTTGAGAGTGTGAAATTCAAACCCTGCCAAAGACCAAAAATGGAAACATGTAAGCCAATTGAGACACACCTTGCCATCCATTTACCTCATTCACCAGTTTTCAGGGTAAGAGTTGTAAAGCGTACTTAAATTTGTGTTCAAACTAATAATAATAATAATAATAATAATAATAATAGTAATAGTAATAGTAATAGTAATAGTAATAGTAATAGTAATACAAGAAAGAAAGGTCAAATACCTTGTGGTTTGATAGTATATACTTTTACTTTCCATAAGGAATGTCACAGGTTTGAGTTTCATCCTAATAAAGGGTGGACATAATTTGTTGAGCAGATACTATAGATAGGTTAGAGTGTAATAATAATAAATAAATAAATAAAAAGAAAAGACAACTTAGACAGACTTTTCATATTGCTTTAATTTACTCCGTTCTATTTACAGCCAAGTTACGTTATAGAAGCAGAAAATAACTTGTAAAAATATTGCCATTTGGCACACTTTGGTTAAGTATTTAAGTATTGCATTAATTGTTTAATAAACTTATAATGAGATTAATCAAATTAGTTATGTGCAATCAAATTAATTATATGACCAAATTGGCCCCTAATCTTAGGTTAACAGTTCAAACTTGAATATAAATAATTATTTATGATTTTATTTTATCACATTACTGTTAGTTAGTTCTCGTTATATTATATAGTACTACGTATTTGCTTATTGTATTGTTGATCTATTTATATGTTGTATTGTAATCGTTACTTTAATTTAAAAAATCCACTAGTAAATTAAATATATGAGAAAATTACTATTCAAAATTGCAAAATATTATGTGTAATATTTTAATTTGTCAAAGTCATACAAAAATGTTTGATTTTTGGGGGTTTTTTTTCTCTTCAAACACAGGTTGGGTTATAAATTCCTATTAACTCATGAACTAAATATCTAAAGTATAATTAAAAAGTAAAAAATCATTAACATTAAACTATATATTTTGGATGAAATTCAAATCACAAATTTAAGATTTAATCCTGTGGAGAAAAAACCGACACGTTTTCGGAATCTAATCCTATAAGAGAGAATAACAAAATAGCAGTTGAATTCAAAGGACTTAATGATTAAGATTGTCTAAATAAGGAAAAAAAAGGCAGAAGAACAACATATATATATGGTTACTGTAGTTGATGTTTGGATCCATAAGGCGATGTGATTGGATAGAATAATACTCCAGGAGGAGGCAAATTATGCTGTGGAACAGTGTAAGGTGGACACAGTTTCAAAACAGTTCATAATTATGAATATATAGTTCAAAAATTATGAACATATAGTTTTATAATTATGAATATAGAGTTGTGAACATAATTATGAATATATAGTTCTGTAATTATGAATATAGAGATTCAATAATTGCGAATATGAAATTCAAAAATTATGAATATATAGTTTTATAATTATGAACATATAATTCTGTAATTGTGAATATAGAATTCAATAATTATAAATATGAAATTCAAGAATTATGAATATATAGTCTTATAATTATGGACATATAGTTTAGTAATTATGAACATAGAACCGTGTCAGTTTCACAGCATAAGTGCATAACGATTGCCATGAGGAACACCAGGCCAATAAACATGCATGATGGAATTGAGGAATTTATACTATGGATGGGATGGGAACCCCAGTACAGTAGTGTTATGTCTTTTAGAAATATGTTCTTGGCCGTACGATGATACCTTCTTCTTTAACACATTCAACAAATTAAGAACTTGATCCTCTGATCTGGAATATAATCGACAATCAAATCTCCACCAAATATTTGACTGTCACCAGATCAGACACTGCTGTTATACTGTGTGTGCTGTCGCAATATATGTTGCTGCTTCAATTCTCTTGTGGGGATAATGTATGAAAATTTAAGTGAAAACTAATACTCTAACATCGGTTATAGACTTATAGGCTATATATCATATGTAAAAACAATTATAAACAGATACTCCATTGTAATAGAGTCGGTAACATTAAAAAAAAAAAGTTATATTGAATAAACCAATGGAAAGAATGAAGTAGTTGTCGATCTTGGTAGCTCGGGGCTATAAGAATTAATGCTATTGTATTAATTTCAGTAGAGTTTAATTTAGACCCTTTTTATATTACAACAAGAAGATGGAGAAGGTCCTAAAAGGGTAAAACAAAATTAAAGTCAATGATTATGTGAAAAGTACGTACTAGCAGCTGGTAGTAAAAAACAAGGGTTGAAAAAGGTTTTCTGATCTACAAGAATCAATTGTGAACATGCAGTATTTTCAAAAGGGATTTGGATTCTTTGTTGATTATGTTGTCTGTTCACCCACTTTTCCTTGAACTAGATCATATGTAGGTGTTTAATATAGACTAATATTGCCCGGACCTAAAAGAGTTTGTGAAGCATAATTATCGTGCTAGCCGAATGTCATGATTCGATTTTTATCAGCACTTTTGGATCGAGTTAATTGCATAGGGTCTTTGTAGGTTATTATTACACAATAACAAAATTTATCTAGTGCACACTGTTAAATAATAACTACAAATTAAATTTTAATTTCCCCTTCATTCGAAAAATATATATGGAGTAGTACGTATTATATTTATGTTGTTATGTAATTACCAAGACTATATGGTCTATTGGTACCCGGGTTGGATTTTCATTTGGAATGTTGTGAGTTCAAGTCTCAGTAGAGGCTCTTTGTGTGACATCGACTATAATCAAAAGTCTAAATTAACTTATGATCTTAAATAAATATTCCACTCTTTCCATCCTAACAAGATTAAAGTTTTTCGACAATGACTATAATCAAGAGTCTAAATTAACTTATGATCTTAAATAAAAATGTAGGTTTAATCTTTATAAAAAGTTAAACAATATTAAATAAAAATGTATGTTTAATCTTTATAAAAAGTTAAACGAACTCTAAACTTAATTGAGAGCTCTCCACCAACTTGCCTCTAAAATGTTGTATGAGGTAAAATACTATATATGTCTTGATGATGAATCATGAATTAAAAACTTACTACGACACTAGCAATTATATATAAGATTATATTATGTGTTACGGATAGATCAAAATCAAACCCCTACCTTATGGCTACCAACATTTTTGAGACTTACTTCACTCTAACATTTGCACCACTAAATTATACCCCAAGAGCCACATTTAACAAACAAGTGTGCATAAAAACTTGTTATTATATATTATTATTATGCTAGCAATTTTTAAGGGTAAGTAAATATGTGTGTCATACAACATATCATTCATCCAGAAAGGAATAGTCCAATAAATGAACTATGACTCTCATATATAAACGTTATGATTTTAATTTTTACTAACATGACATCTTTCAATTTAGTTCACGCACACTTTGTGACAACAAGTTTTCATTTTTAACTCTAAAAATATTAATTTACTTGATTTAGTGATGTTAATATATATATATATATATATATATATATATATATATATATATAAAATGAATGCTCCACTTTCCTCCCAAGATTCCACATTTTTTCATGTCCAAAGACCAAAGTTAATTAGTTTGAAATGCCTCTCTTCATGAGTTTATATCCCTTTGTGTCTCCATCAAACCGCCTGTCCACTCTTTTCTATTAACCATTATTATATTATTTTATTTTCTCTCTCTCATTAATATTAAAACCCCAAATCTGATCTCTCCCCTCACAGACTTCGTTCTGATCGATCTCCACAACCCCAAAAGCTCCGATCCAAACCAAACCAAACCTTTTTGAAGATCATGACCGGAAAGAGAGCCGCCCATCCCGGGAGCCCATTATCCGGCAACTCGCCGCCGGACACGGGTTCCTCAAAAGAGCTGGACCGGTTCCTCCCCATAGCGAACGTGAGCCGGATCATGAAGAAAGCCCTCCCCGCCAACGCCAAGATATCCAAGGAAGCGAAAGAGACCGTCCAGGAATGCGTGTCGGAGTTCATAAGCTTCATCACCGGCGAGGCCTCCGACAAGTGCCAGCGGGAGAAGCGCAAGACCATCAACGGCGACGACCTGCTGTGGGCGATGACCACGTTGGGCTTCGAGAACTACGTCGCCTCCTTGAAGGCTTACCTCAACAAGTACAGAGAAACGGAGGGGGAGAAGAACTCCATGGCCAGAAACGACGCCAATAATGAACATTCGCCAACTTCTTCTCCCAACAATAATAATTATAATAACAATATCGTCGGCGGCGGCGCTGCTTCTCCCGGCGGCCATTTTATCAATGGAAGCTTCCCGAAGATTATTGGGTATGGCGGCGGCGAGGCTCATCTTCTTCAGATGAGCAGCAACAATGGAGGCGGTGGTGGAGTGATGATAAGTATGGGGAAGGCGGTCAAAGGAATTGATGGAAATGTTCAGAGGACCGCCATGGCAACCACTGATAATCTCCATGGGATTATTGAATGGTAGACTTTTATTTTATTTTATTTATATTTTATGCATACCACACTGATATGATATGATATGATATGGCATTCTACCATAAGAGAGAAGGCTAATTCAGAGAAGTCTTGAATTCGAATTTTAATTTCAGTAGCATTTAACTAATGTTTATATATATAAATGAATTTCTTATTCGCATCTTTTATTTCTTCTTTTAATTTATAAATTACTGTAAACATATTTTTAAAGCAAATTTTACTTTTAATTTTTCAACTATTATGTCATTATTATAGTCTTTTATTAATTAGTATGCCTTATTACACTTCTAACTCTCATTTACTTGCCACAATAATTTAAAATTATATCGTTCCACATTTTCATCGATAATAAATATGATTAATATATAATTTCATAATTCAAATATATGATTATATTGCCTCCATATTGGCACCATGGTTGCCATTAACCATGAAAAACTATAGGGGTTATTGGCAAATTTAGATTCGTCCATTTTACCATTTTCCTCCTTGCTGCTATAACAACCAAAGTGAAGCTAATTTATAAGGCTACCATTTTTAATTTTTTCCTTCATATTTTGTTTTAATAAAATTAACAATAATTTTAATTATTATTTAACTGTAATTGTCGTGTTATCGAAAGTGAGAATGAATTGAATGAGATTATATTTAGGGGTGTTAGCGAATAGAGTTTTCGATAAACTACTCGTGTTCGTGTTCGGTTAGTGTTCGTTTATGTTCGTTTATTAAGATAAACGAATATTAACAAACAAAATTTAAAGCTCGATTTATAAACGATAAAAGTCTGAACAGTTGTAAGCTCGTTTGCTAAGAGATCATGAACAAGCTTGTTTGTGTTCGCTTAATATTTGTTTGTATTCTCTTTGTAGTTGGGTTACCTGTTGGCTATTTTTCGTGAACATATATTATTTCTTGTTCACTAACAAATTGTGATCATGAACATGTTCATTTGTTTGGTTATTAAGCATTCACGAACGTGAACAAACATGTTCGCAAATATTAATGAACATTATCATGAACGTGCTTGTTAACAAACACGTTCATGAACATGTTCGTTAATGTTAACGAACATGTTCGTTAATGTAAACGAACACGTTCGCGAACGTTAACAAACATTAACGAACGCTTAACAAACGAACACAAACATGATTTTTAAAAACCTTAACAAACGAACACGAACACTCCAAAAATCTTAACAAACGAACATGAACAACCTCCGTTCGTTTATGTTCGGTTCGTTAACATCCCTATTTATATTAAATAATCAATTAACGTTAATTAAGATATTTTTTAGTATTACTGTTACAATGTACATAGTAATATTTGTTTATAGTTACTTCTCAAAGTATTGAAGCATCTACTTTCTCAAAGTACTAAAGTACAAAGAGTCAATAACACCCTTAGTGGGGCTCAAGCACATGATCTCCCATTCTAATTCTAATTATATAAAACTAATAAACATTATAATTCTAATTATATAAAACTAATAAATAATGCCGCATGGACAAATCAATTAGATAAAATTTAGAAAGAATAATCAGGGATCCAGTTTCAGTACACACATGTTTAATTCAAATTTCAAATCTCTCTTTGAGTTGCATCAAAAATATAGAACAAATAATTTTTATTTTTTTTCACAATCAACGAAAGACAAGCAATAATAATAATAATATATCTAAAAGGTGTATATAAATAGAGTGGGCAAACCGCAAACGTATCAACTAACGGTACTCTGGCGTGTATCAACTCAACCCCTAATCCCTCTTTTCCATTTTCAAATCAAATACAACTTCCTCGCCGTCAAATCTAACCATGGACGCCACCCAACCCGTCAATCCCCCGAAGGAACCCGCCTCCGTCAATGACGTCGTCGCTTCCAATCCCACAACCGAAATTCCGCCGCCGCCATTGGCCTCCGTCACCGCCACTGCCACAAAGCGGAAGAACATAAAGAAAAAGAGGAGGCCGGCGACTCCGGAGCTCCCCGACCCACATTCGCCGACGGCATCATCGTCTTCGGCTTGTTTGAGTGCGACGTCGTTTGCTGGTTCGAAGCAACGAGGGTTTAGGGTCTTGAACGGTCGCCGGAACCCTAGAGCGCTAACTGGGGCCGCCAGGCATAGGGCTGGCGATGTTGATGCCGTCGCTCTCCATCTTGGCATGTCTATTGCAGCTGTATTTGCTCAGGTATACGTAGTTAATTATGATTAGTAGTTTATGTTACTCCGTACATTGAAAATATCGGCTTTTAGGGAAAAGTTTGAAATTTTGTTTTTGAAAAATTTCATCTTGAGTATTGAGATGGTTGGAAGTTATGAATGAAGACATGAAAATTAAGGTGTAAAGAAATTGTTCCAAAGATGTAATCTTGAAATAGCTAGAGACGATCGTGTTTAAATTATTTAGTGATTGAATTATGAAGAGAAACTAGTAATTATAATGCTGAAAGTGAACTAATCTTAAAGTGAAAGCTAGCATCCAAATGTAGATTCTTGATTGATCTGGGTTGTTTCCCTTAAATGATTTGCCTGCCGATTCTGTAATTTTTATCCTATGAGCTCATTGAAATGTCTTTGGGTATTATATGGAGGTTCAATGTCACTAGACCTATAAATGTCTTGTTCTTTGACCACTATTGTACTTGCAAATTTCTTAACTTTTTATCAAGATGATATTACACTTGAGACCTTCATCAGATTTGCCGATAACATTATATTTGAGATGTTATTACAGTTAGTACACCTAGAAATCTGTATAAGATTTCCTGTTGCCATTGATTGTGGGAAAATTGTATTTGATTATTCTTTTCATTTTAGCACTACCATTTCAAGACCTGAAAGTTCAACTTTCTGTGAGATTCCTGCTGGTCAACTCTGATACCATTTGATTCTTTAAATGAATTGTCAACCTATTCACCACAGTCATCCTAGATAGGATTCTATCTCTTTCACTCTGGTTAAAGTTTCGTTTTTTATTTTATTTTTGTCAATGCTCTTTTAGGTATTGGAAAGGAAAGATGCAGCCATAGAAAATAATATGTCAGTGGATCATCTCTCTACGGTATATTCTGTGCTCCTCTCTAGGATAATTCTTATATGAATATTCATCAGTGTGTATTCAATTCCTTTCTGCACTACAAGGAATATATTCTTGTGTTATGAAACCTAATCATCTATGCATGTTAGTACTGTTAGTTATGCGATTAAATACCTCAGTGGATGAGTTTTGCAAAGCATCCTCACAGTTTGATGATGTATATTTTTCCATTGTTCTTTTTCTTCTCAGATTTGCACTTTGGCTGTTCGGGAATCTTTGGCAAATGTGAGAGATTAACACCTTCAGCTAATTCTTGTGGTCACAGTATGATCTTTTATCACAATTCCCATCTATTTTTAGTCTAGAATTTTGTACTCTAATGTGTTTCTTGTATTCATACAGGCTTTTGGGGATCGGTTTGAGTCTTTTGTGAGGAACTTTGAGAAATCATTTAGGAGTACATTGATGACTCTGAGATTAGTGAATGAGTCTTCTATGAAGAATGGGCTAGAACACCAAAAACCTGCAAACAGAGGAACTTCTATCTCAGAGGTGAATTTGCATTTTAAGGATGGATTAGAAGACCCTGCATGTGAGTCTTCTATAAAAAATGGAGTAGAGCACCAACAACCAACAATTGGAGGATCTTCTATATTGGAGGTGGATATGCAGTCACCGTGCAGATTAGAAGACTCTGCATCCTATCCTGATCTAAGTGAGTTCAACTTGGAGCCAGCTTTGCAGAGTATTACTTCCAATCATCAAATAAGCAATCAAGATGAACTAAATGCAAATATGTTGGTGGAATCAATGAATCAGCTTACCCTTCATGACAGAGAAAGAATAAAGCAGTTAGCCTGTGTTTCTTCAAACACGTCTTACTCTGCAATTACTAATACCAAGCATAACGCATTAGAAATGGCTGTTGTGGAGCAGGCTAGATCTAATGATCTTAAGACATTTGAGATTGGTCTTATGATCAAAAAGTTGCAACTTAAAGAAAGACAGCTAGCTGTTAACTCCCAAGCTAATATTTTGGAGAGATGGAAATTATCTTTGGGTATATCTAGGGCATCCTTCAAAGCTGAGAAGTTTAAGAATCAATTAGAAGATGCAAAACATATTGAGCTGCTCAAAACCTGTATTGACTGTCTTGTTGCTGGCCTTTTCATTATGGTGGGATGCCTTGGATATGGAACATATGTGTATTCTCACCAAAGAATTACTGAAGCTACTACAGCCTGCACACCTTCCACTGTAAGGAATATTTCATTCTGGATTCTGTTCATTTTATGATTTCCATTTTTTAGATTCTAGCATTTTTGAACTCTTCAATTAACTCGTCCCCCCTTCAAAGTTGAGAAAAAAAAAAAAAAGTTGGTTGTTTAGCTTCTGTATATTACTATTGGTGAAGTAGAGTTTTTTTTTATTAAAAAAAAAAAAAAATCCTTTTTGCAATTGTGTGTGTGTGTGTGTGTATTTTTTCCCTTTTTTAGGGAGGGGTGGTGGTGTTTGTATTACCTTATAAGTGGATTAAGGTAGAAAATTTTAGAGAAATTTTTGGCAATGTGTGATCCTGTATGATGACTTTTTATACATGAGGTTAACATGGTAGTAAGGGAAAAGAGTTAATACCATTTGAGGTCCTTCGAGTAGAGTAGTTTTGCCACGTTTAGTCCTAAACTTTTAAATTGACCATATGTGGTCCTTCGACTTTCAAATTTAACCATTCGTGATCCAAGTTAACCACTCATAGTCCTTCAACTATTAAAATTTAACCAACCATGGTCCTTTCAACAGGACCACCACTGGTTAAATTTCAAAACTTAAAGGACCATGGATGGTTAACTTTGACCACAAATGGTTAAATTTGAAAGTCGAAGGACCACAGATGGTCAATTTGAAAGTTTAAGACTAAACGTGGCAAAACCACTATACTCGGAGGACCTCAGATGGTATTAACTCTTAAGGGAAAATGATCATGTTAAATTTCTGCTACTGGCTCCAGCAGTATTGCCTTTGTCTCAGCATGTTTAAGATACGAACCTATGGACAAAAGCTAAAGTTCATTGCAGATAATATTACCAGTGTTATCATGTTTGACATCTAATCCATCGTGTTCTGTTTGTTGTATATCTTTTCTTAGGAATCTAAGTCTTGGTGGATGCCAAAGTCGATGCAATCTGTCAATTCTGGACTGCAGACTCTGAGGTGCCAAGTTCAAGTTCTATCTCGGATGCTATTTGGTGCACTAATGATCCTGGTAGTTGCTTATTTGCTTTTTCAGCGTTCAGCTACTTCACATCACGCAATGCCCGTTACTTTCATACTGTTATTATTAGGAGCAGTGTGTGGTCTTGCTGGAAAGCTTTGCGTCGATACACTGGGAGGCAGTGGATATCATTGGCTATTGTATTGGGAGGCTTTATGCTTATTGCATTTCTTTTCAAACTTCTTTATTTCAACTTTGTGTATTATTCTCGTCGGGCCTGTCATTGCACCAGAAAAAGGCACTGTGCTAGAAAAGAGCAGGATGTGTATTATATTTCCGTACTGGATGAGGAGAATTGTCTTCTACTCTACAATGCTCCTGTTTCTCCCACTGCTGTGCGGTTTGGTACCTTTCGCTGGGCCCCGGGAATGGAAAGATCACTTTTCTTCACTGGCCGTCGACTACTTCCGAGGAAAGTTAAAACCATCTTCAGAAGAGTAAAAAGCCTTCATTCATAATCATGGTTATGGAACAACTGTGAGAAATAAGTATGAAGTTTATCATCTTTGTGGTATGCATGTAAGTATAGTGTTTGTAATAAGCCTTAGTGTCAACCTTGTTCTGAGTTAATGGATTTTCAGGCTTTTCAAGAATCAAGCTAACTGAGTTGTAAAGTTTTATAAATTATTTTGGAACAAGCATCTTGTTCTTATGACCACATTTTTTTTTTTACTTTGGGTTGTTAATTTATTATTATTATTAGGGAAAATGACACTTTTTCCCCTGTGTTGTTTACCTATAGCATATTTTCTTCCTGTGTTGTTTATGTAATCACTTTATCCCCTTCAATTGTTTTTGAAGTGGCTATTTTTCCCCCTCCCCGTTAAATAAGTGTTAGGGCTGTTAAATATGAGGATAAAAATAGCATTCCACTTATTATTATTATTATTATTATTATTATTATTAGATAATGGATGGAAGGGTCCCGTTCACTCCAACAACCACACCTCTCTAATCTCTTCTACCATTGATGAACCCAAATTCTCTAAAATCTAGCAAAGAATACGCGGAAGCAATCGGAAGAAACTAGTGCAACCATGAGTAGCAGGAGGGTGCTTGGATTGGATAAAACTCCAAACTGTAAGTTTTTTTCTTGAAACCTTATATCTTCATTGCACTTGTATATGATTATATTCTAAGAAATTGAAGATTGAAAATTTTCGAAATGGGAGATTTGGATAGTGCAATTTGTATGGCTGCTTATCCATATTTGTTTGCTTTTTTTTTTTTTTTTTTTTTTTTTTTTTTTTTTTTTTTTTTTTTAATAAGTATTTGTTTATGTTTCCTGGACTTGTGATATATCCTTTTTTTTTATTATTATTATTTAATGACTCTAAATATTGTATTACTATTTTGCTATTATTTCTTAGATGTTGGGGAAGATGAGTATGTGTACACTATAAAGCTATATTATGGAGGTGTTCTAGTTGTACATCCTTATTTAGACTATTTGGGAGGAAAGGTAGAATATGTGGTTGTTCAGGAAAGGTAGAATATGTGGTTGTTGGTAGTGAACGGGACCCTTCCATCCATTATCTAATAATAATAATAATAATAATAATAATAATAATAATAATAATAATAATAATAATAATAAAAAAGTGAAATGAGGGGATAAAGTGGTTACATAAACAACACAGGGGGAAAATATGCTATATGTAAACAACAGGGGGAAAAAGTGTTATTTTTCCTTATTATTATTATTATTATTATTATTATTATTATTGGATACGAGGAAAACCCCGCAATACCCAAGGATGTGTATTGAGTCCTGTATAATAGTTTGCAAACTACATATGAGAAATAAACTATAAATTTGACCAAGATGTGGTGTCTTCTTTATTTAGTTACCAGAATGGAATCCAACTTCTCTGCTAGGAGTGTTGAAAATTACTATTCTCAAGCTTCAGTGCTTCACAGTGTAAAGTTTGAATCTCTCAATTCAGAGATTTTCCTAATTAGAGATCACCAACACAGCATTTCATGAAACTAAATTTAACTTTTTAAAGCAAATAAAGAAAAGATAATAGAAATACCCAACACATCAAGCATGATGTACATGTCATTTCATTTAACATCATTAACAACTTAAGTTAATAAGAAACACCAGCAGCATATGTAAAATCTAGTACAATTAACATTAGCAAAAAGAAGAACATTCTTGGAGTCTACTCCAACAAGGTGCATCATCCTTTACATCCAAACTAAACTGAACCCATGGAGCTAGCTTTCATCATACTAAATTCCTACAAGGTTAAAAAAAAAAACATATGTTTTCAAATAGTCCGAAAGAGGAGCCGGGTGCCGTTTTCATTGTTCAATGAAAACAATTTGTCCTTTCGTTCAATGCAAGCAAATTTTACTTTCTGAGATGCACGAGGAAAAAGCGTCAACTCCATTAAGCGTCTATAGACATCCTCGGAGATATCATCAGCATATACAATAATAAAAACTATGTTTAGTGCAGGAGTTTTTGAAAGTAACATTTTCACAAAAAGCATTTCAAGTGTAGATCCACCAAACCCACCAATCATGATTGTTTTAAGAATCTTCAGATCCTGCTTAATAATGCAACTGTTTGGATCCTCCATAAGTCTTGTACCCGTTGCTATATCACAACAACATAGCTACAACACAACAACCATGAGGAGATGAAATTAATAAGGAATTGAAAAGAAAACAATCATATATGATTGCCAAATATATAATTAGTCCAAACTCCAAAGGGGTTTTGTGTCTTACACTATTGAGTGCCAAAATCTTCAGCATACATAGGATGGGGGAATTCTGAAGCAACTGCAAAACAAAGGCAAGCTGCTCTCGACATGAAACATTAAACTCATACAGATAAATCACTTCCAAATTTATTGCTGTTGGGAATGTCACTCTGGCTATTTCTGCATTTTTACACTTCAAAAAAAGATTATATGAGCATTGAAAGAACTAACTCTGTCAATCCTTCCTACAATCAATCCATTTGCATAAAGGAAGAAAATGCGAAAGTAGAGATTCTCACCGGCACCGCGGCAACAAACCGGGGCTCAAGGTAAGGGTCTTAATTGTATTCAAATAACGCGTAAAACATCTGGATTCATCAAGCTTCCTCTCAAACAGAGAACCAGCAACAGCATATATTTCAAGTTTTGGACTGCAGATCTCAAAATTAGAGATCCCTTGACAGCTCCTCAAGATTAGGAATAGTGTAGCCAATTCCCTTAATGTTATCACTAAATTCAACACCGCAGAAAACTAATGAAGTGAGGTTGGGAAATATACATCCAGGGCGAGGGATCGTCAAATCGAAAACTAAACCGCCCAGAGTGAGTTGCTTAATTGTTCAGCACGAGAATATACAAGATGGCAGCTTATGGGTACGTGCAATAAACAACTTAAGTTCCTCTAGAGCATTTTTATTTCTCGAAAGAAAACGACACCACAGATCTAAATCAGACTACTGGGGCATAGGATCCGATTCTTCGCTAAGGTGTAGAGTAAATTTCTTAACGGATCCAGCACGGAGCAAGAGAATATCATTTATTGCGCTAATCTGAGCCATTTCTTTCTCATCATCATCTTCGTACCTTGAGAAGCATTCAAAAAACTCCCGATCAAACACAAGCCGCCCATGCCGCAACCAAACATCCTCCGCCCATGCCGCAACCAAACATCCTTCCAGTGAGTTGAGAGCACAGCAGTTCTGGCCGCGTCTCGAAAAGGCAAGCACTCCAAAATCCTTTCCTTCACTTCTGCTGGCAGTTCATTTATTACATCCATCCACTGCATCCACTTCGGATTTTCTTCGAAAAAAAAAAGAAGTTAAAATCGCTCGATTCTCATTCCAATCTCACAAGATTTTGGGAACAAAAGACATTTTGATGAATTTGGGAAGAAAACGGGAGAAGTGTAAGAAACCCTTTAGCCACCTTTTTCTACTGTATACACAGATGTTTGAGTTTGGGAGAATGGAAACTTAGTTGAGTTATTATACCATTGACCACCTTGCGATGTAGACTCTGGTCCTAAACGTTTATTTTTTGTATTATAATTGTGAATTGTGAATGTTTAGAATATAAATTGTGTTTTTAAATCAATAAATAATAATTGTAGAAGACTAGAAGAGAATTTATAAATACATACAGGGTCATTAAATCGTAATTTATTAATATTTTGTGACTGAATATTTGAAAGGAATTTGTAAATACAAAACAAGGTAATCAATGGCTTCTCATCATGGAATAGAATTTGGAACTAAAAGTACCCCCTAAGTGGAAAACTTTCTTTGTGGAGAGCTGTGAGTGATGTGCTCCCCACTATGGACACCTTAATAAATAGGAGGGTAGAGATCCCTCTAGCATGCCCTTTGTGTGGACTTTGCTCTGAAAATATTTTGCATAATCTAGTGTTATGTGATTATTTTAAATGTGTATGGAATATTTCTGGATTGATGGTGCAGTGTATGGTGGGAGATGGTTTTGGTGTGTGGCTTGAAGCCTTGTTCCAGAAAGTTGATGACAACCACTTTCTATGCTAGCCATCATGTACCACCTATGGAGGCAACGCAATACGGCCCGTTTGGGAGTTCAAGCTGGGGATCCCTCGTCGCGTGCATGCAATTGCCACGGCAGCTCTTGATGCGTGGCGTGCGGCGGTTGTCCCTCCGGCGCGGCAGCATGGTACGGTGGCAGCAGCGGGAGACGCAGGGCAGGTTGCAGCCGGGAGCGCTGCACGGACTGAGGAACGCTTGCGGTGTTCCTTTGATGCGGGTTATGTGGCCGCATCTGGGATGGGTGTTTTTGGCCTCATTTTGCAGCGTGCGGACGGTGGTTTCGTTGCAGCCAAGAACGGTCCTCTACCAACCTGCCAAAGTCCTTTCATGGCGGAAGCATTCGCATGCAAGGAGACCCTTTCCTGGCTCATAGATCGTGGTGTAACGGAGGTTGTCCTACGGACGGATTGCTCAAATCTTTGTCACGCCCTTACTACTACAGCGACGGAGTTTCGCTCCTATGATGGTGTAGTTGTTTCAGCATGTCGGGACTTGCTTAGTTAGTTCTTTTATTTCGTGCTCTGTTATTTCTATTCCTCGTACGACTAACTTTTTAGCACATTCGTTAGCTTTAGCAGCCTATTCACAGGCGGACTCTATGGCATGGGAGGACGATCCTCCTATGTTTGTTTCAGATTTGATTGATTAATATACGCAGTTTACCTTCAAAAAAAATACTTATATATTAATACTAGTTTTTTTATGCACTTTGCGCGAATAGGATAATGCTCAATGATTATTTTTAAATAACTATTTCAAAGTATATCAATGCAATATTATATAGGAGATGCTTATGAGATAAATAAATGTTGAATTTTGTTTATTTAAATCGACAATTTAAAGTATATAAATTCAAGATAATATATGAGAGATTGATTATAATTGTCATTAAAATAAATGTTTGCAACTTTGTAATAACGCTAATCTAAATATTTAGTTTAAAGTGATAGTCTAAATAAATACTACTTTTGGTTTAAATTTCTCTAATTCTCTTGATATGGTTAATCCCCGTGTATATGAATACCATAGAGTAGACAATATGATAATAGCTCAAAGAGAACCTCTTTTATTCATAATTGTGTGTTTGTAGAGAGAGGGGAGAGTGTTTAGAGAGTAATACACTAGAGATATGAATAACATATCCAAGGCTTTCACACACCTTCTAAAACTAAGCTTAAGAACATCATCATTCATCAATGTTGTGTCATCAAATCCAGAGACCAGAAGAAAACAAAATTTAATTCAATTCTCATCTTCATATTCTCTCTCTCTCTCTCTACGGAGTACATACGCTATGAAATTGTAATAGAAGCTAGACTTTAGAATACATGCTTGCTCAATTGAACGGCAGCTTGGCTAGCTCTGGGCTAATGATGAGTCATCAGTTTTACACTCTAGAACAAAATGGGTATTCTATCTCCTCCATTAAATTCCTACTTGGAGGTGTATGTGTTAGAGTAAAGGGCCAAGAACAAAAAGGTAAGGAGAGAAAAAGAGAATCTAGAATTTCAGAATTCAAATAAGGGAGAAAACAAAAAAACAAGGGACCATAAGGTTCCCTCCTGCGAGATGATATCTTGCCCAGCTGCTAGAGCTATTATTTCAGAGCTTATTCAATGCCTTACTGCATAGGAGAAGGTCTCAATTTATACCCTATTACAAGGTCTAATTGTAGAACTTAAGCAACAATCATGTTAAACAATAATTGCAGATTTTCCTTGAAATATGCCTTGGTTCTTCCTATTCCTTCTTTCGTGTGTGTACACTATCCACTTATTACGGTCTTTATCAGAATGTCACAAAATTTCGTGAGCCATCCGGTAGTATCTGTTTATGAATGGAGACTGCAACAAAAGATTCACAACAAAATTCAACTTGTCAGAATGAAGCATGTTTGTAAGTTTTCATGATAATTTGCCAGGGTATTACTTCACATTTTAAAAAGAAGGATTATAAATTGCAGATTGATAGCAGAGAGACAATCAACCATTCAAAGTGAAGACAGCAAACCAAACAACTAGTACATTTATGCTATATGATTAGAAACACTACATAAAGATTTTCATAGTTAAAAAGGTGTCAGGAGGAAGGTTGAGGGAATTAAGTTCTGCTCGGGTTATCCATTTTATTTTCTATGGAAAAAAGGTTATCAAAGCTAGGAACTTATTATCAGGTGTTTACAGTTCTAATCTGTGATTTACACCCAGAGCAACTATGTTTTAACGACCCCAATTTATGCTGTGCCATAAATGCACCTAGACTAATTACACCTACAAGGAAAAAAATATGAATCATGATTCTGACCTTCATGTTCGATACATCAGGAGCATCAGGTGAGGTCACAGGATAAAACTTGTAGAATCTTATATCATCAAATGCAGCCTTTTTTTCCGCGCTCATTTCTGCTATTGCCTTTTTCCGGGCTTCCCTTGCCTATATGGAAATTTGATATTGTGCTTAAAACACAAAAGATAGAATATTTCTCCTGAAAGTATTAGGAAATAGAAAAAGGGAAGATGGAAGAAAGGCGGGGTTTGCAGGAATCTTTAAACAAATACCTCTCGGTTAGCCTTTTTGGCTTCACGGACCTTTTCCTTAATAAAGACCTGATATAAAAAGAAACATAAATATACAAGTAAACTAATTTAAGATCATCAATTACCAAGAGAAAATACAATACATATAGTTCAAGATAGTGTTACGTGCTTATTGCAAATAATAAGTTTACCTTGAAGGCATCTATTTGATCTTCCGTCAACTCCTCTTCTTCAATAAGTTTGTCTGTAATTTCCTATATGATCGACAATCAAAGTCAGTAGCAAGGACATGGTTTGTACATACAGAAATACATGCACTTTTCTGCTCAAGTAATAGATACTTCACGGTTTATCTTTGGTGCTTGGTTAGCCCACAACTTATACTCCAAAAAGCATAAACTATGCCAATTATTAAACACAGAAAAAGGCTTCCACAGGCAAAGAAGAGCTCCTTTTCAGAAAAGCCAATTTTTCCAATAAGCTCCAACTAGGCCAAAAAAGAACTTAGAAGAGTATTAAACTATTTCCATCATCACCTAAGTTTTAGAAAACAATGGCCATTGGTCAAGAGACCTCTCAAAGTTTCAAATGATAAATATTTGTAATAACAGTATAAACAAGTATCAAAGTCTTATACTGGAGAATACCTAAAACATACTTTTCATGCAGGCATATTTCCTTAATTAAAATAAGAAAATGTATAGGAACTTCTGTTAAGAGGCAGTTGACTGAACCAATCACGGATAGAGGGGGAAGGGATGGGAAAGTGATTAAGCCACTTACATCAACTTCATCCAATTCCCAATCAAACTCGCAGAAAACCTGGAAGAAAGCCCCACTATAAAGTATAAACAAAATGGAAATATATAGTAAAAATGTCACCTAATATCTGTAGCACTTCTATTTCAGAATTACAAGAAATCTTACAGGTATGGGTTCTCCTGTAAACATAATCTCCACAAAAGTGCTCTGTTCAAGCTCATCTTCCGGGAAAGGGTGGTAGAAATCTGTGAAAGACAATTGAAAATTGTCAGTGAACTTCTAATTGAAGCAGATCACTAAAAAGAACAGCCCATAGACAGCTGCTGATATAATGATTTCAAGAAATGGCATATTGGCATAAATACATACTTGACTGAAATGCATTTGTTCTAAAATTAGCCAGCAGAAAATTCTGAACCATATTCATGATTTCATGACAGTAGTAAAAAAACACGGGCCAATTAGGAAGTGACACACAATGTTGCTAGGTTTTATCAATGATGATCAATACAGTAGAAGGCACATACATGGTCTGTGTAAAAAAAAAAATTAATAAAAAAAAATAGCAGAATACAAGTTGTGCAGGCATTAGAATTTCATGGGTGAATGATGAAATGAAGCAGACTTAGAGCTACTATGATTTGTACTGGGGTGTCTTTCGACTCTTTCCTAAGAAAGCTGACTTCAGTTATATCTCATAAGGTACACACCAGAACCAAAGCAAGGGAATGTTGCTAACATCTGGCATTGGAAACATTCGTTAAGTGACAGTTAAAAAATACACTCCAAAAACAGAATACTTAATCCTGGGTTGAACCTACAACAGGTATAGCCAATTGATTTAAAAGTCAATGTAGAATTAATAAACTCAAGGAAAAAGTCTACAACCTAAGTACATAGCTGAGTATTTGAAAGAAAAGAATCACTGACAACATAGCAGATATAGAAGCAAAAAAAGTAAATCTTTAGCAAGGGAATATATGGTGACTCACAGGGTTGGGAATATTCTAACTTCTTCACATGCTCCAACTTCAAGTGTTTTAGGCCAGCCCTATGAAAACAATGAAGAGGCATTAATCATATTAGTGTGCTTTGGCGGCCAAAATTTGTGCTACACATGTTTTGTTTTCAGCAGGGAGAGGAAAGGGGGAAGATGAACTAACACATGTTTTCAGCAGTCAAAATTTATTTTTGGTAGAAACACCTAAGTTAGCAAAAGCAACAGTAGAAGTGTTCACCCTAATTACATACAAAATGATAAACTACATGGAAGCATAACAATCCCAAAAATTGTTTGCTAAAATGAAAGAAACTCAAAGGTGAAATAAAATCTTTAGATAGACCCAAGTTTATAAAAAGCATTGTAGGTTCACCCAAAAATAGTGATGGTTGAAACCAACAGAATAAACTTTCTAAACAGAATTTGAATGTACGATGAAACTATACCTTCTTTGGGTACAACCCAATATAAAAATTTGGGATTTGAGTCTTTCAACCTGAGAATCCCTGAAGGAATAAGAAAATTGAAAAGAATCATTTGCTTTGAAAAAGGAACATATTGGGTAGGAATCCTTTTAATAGGATTGAACAAAAGATGACAATACCTATAGTATGGAATCCAATCCATTTTCATCTGTTTCATGGGCACTATTTCTTCAGCTTCCCATGGTACAGTGTTTATTTCAATTTTGTCTGAAGGTGGAAAAGGTGAAACCACCTGTCCAAGAAGAAATGTGGAAAGAGAATTGAGGAAAACCCAAATACTAAAATGCAGTAAATTACGATATATATGACGGTCTACTTTTGTGGTCCAGCATTCAAATAGATTGAGGAATACATAATTCATTGGCTTTACAATTTTCATACATATATTTATGCACTTTAAAGTAGAGAATCATATGAACAGAGCTTCGAAGCTGAATATCTTTATAGCATCTACCTTGGGATGTTAGAAAAATGGTATCAATAGAACAAGATAACTATTGAAGACAGATACTTGCAGTTGCAAAGAATATAGAATTCCAGATAAGATGTTAATGATAAAAAGAAACATCAAATCGCATTATTCATTATGCCATAAAACACGTAGGAAACTTAGAACAGTTCAAAACACAACCAGCAAAAAGACAACTCAGAGCCTGACAAGTGTAATATTAAAAGCTTAGGAACTTACAGCAACCACAACTGGTATGCATGAAACTTTTGCTTGACCTTGGTATGAGACCAATTGTGCTGCAATGAACAAAGAGGAATTAGAATAAGATAATTGATAGCAAGAAACCAATATATGGTACTCACAGAATGCATTATTGCAAATGATGAAAATCATGAAATAATGTTGGCCAACAATAAAATAATGTTGTTAATAATGCATACAGTGTAACAGGATTTCAATGAAATTACCATGAATATCATTGCAGAATATTTTCGTTCATCAGATAGAAAGCATAAATTCAATTGACTGGAAAGCTATTCTGTGCACTATCTACAATCTAGAAAATGAAATTAAGGAACATCTGACACTTACGTTCTGTACAGCCAAAAAGGTAGACTTTTTTTCCATATAACTTTCCGCCTTCTTCAAAGGCTTCCTGTTATTAAGCACACACAAATTCAATTCATTTATCCACTCTATATAGTGTCAACTATGCAATTGAAAATTCAAACAATGAATTTCTAGACAACATGACAAACAAAAAATTTATTGCACATTAATCTACTAACCTCCAGATTTGAGAAGTTCCATTTATACTGATAGACCATGTCCAACTGATCCCACTGAAAAGGGGGAAACACAAAGAATCAAAGACAATGAGTGAAACAAGAAGCATTGTGCAATCTAATACCTGTTGAAGATAAGAAAGTTATCAGAACCAAACCTCAGTACCAACAGGGAAAACTTGTTGCCATAGATCCTCCTGCAAACACAGAATAAAAAATTTAAGCAAACTTGAGATTCTTCCACAACTGAACCAATTTGTTTCCACCACTACAATGCTGAATTGCAGTTAGCCAAAGCCTTTCTCAGAACATCCAGTTAAAGCAATACTTTGGTAACTGGTCAATCAAAATTACTTTTAAAAACACCAATGAGATAAAACAGAAATTACAAAAAGAGCATCAGCTACTTTTAGTTTAAGACAATAAGAAAACAGCTTCAGATAACATAATACAAGTCATTTGTTTTATACACAAAGTAAGGCATTTCTAGGAGCAAATGTATGCATTTACAGTACTGAATCAGTAATTCATTCTCTTTCCTCTATAATTGGAACCACATAAACTAAATTAGAGGCTAAGTGAGACATTTGATTTTGTATCTAGCAACCTCATCCCATAAACGACACGCATGCTGCAACCAAATATCCTTCCAGTGAGTTGAGAGCACAGAAGTTCTCGCCGCGTCTCGAAAAGGCAAGCACTGCAAAATCAATTCCTTCACTTCTACTGGCAGTTCACTTATTAGATCCATCTACTGCATCCGCTTCGGATTTTCTTCGGGAAAAAAAAGTAGTTAAAATCGCTCGATTCTCATTCCAATCTCACAAGGAAGAAAACGGGAGAAGTGTAAGAAACCCTTGCCGCCTTTTTCTACTGTGAGTTCGGAGGAATACCGGGAAACTTGGTTGGATTGTGCGCGGCTAGCGGCGGTGTGACCAATATAATATTAAGTATTTGATATATGGTGAAACACTAATAACTAAACTATTGTTATGATTAGGAATCTGGTTAAGGTTTAGGAAATTAAAAATATACAACTTCCCATGATTATATAAGGTTACTAGTCGGACGAGAGAATTAAGTAGCAGTATGACGGGAGAGGTTAGTATGATTTGTATTGGTATATTTAATTATATTTAATTCTAACGCCGTTTTCTTCACAAATTCAGTGGATTGATGTAATAAGTGAACTATTTTTGGGACTATTTGAAAACATATGTTTAATTATATTGAACAATGAACATGACATCCAGCTCCTTTTTGGGACTATTTGAAAACATATAGTTTTATTTCCCGGAAATTGAAAGATCACTTTTCTTCACTGGCCGTCGACTACTTCTGGGGAACAAATTATTAGAAGTTAAAACCATCTTCAGAATAGTAAAAGCCTTCATTCATAATCATGGTTATGGAACAACTGTGAGAAATAAGTATGAAGTTTATCATCTTTGTGGTATGCATGTAAGTATAGTGTTTGTAATAAGTCTAGCTAGCTAGCTGCCTTAGTGTCAACCTTGTTCTTGAGTTAATGGATTTTCAGGCTTTTCAAGAATCAAGTTGAATTGTAAAGTTTTATAAATTATTTGGAACAAGCATCTTGCTCTTATGACCACATTTTTTTTTTTAATTTGGGTTGTTAATTTATTATTATTATTATTATTATTATTATTATTGGATACGAGAAACCCCGCAATACCTAAGGGTGTGTACTGAGATTGAGTCCTATTGTAATATTGATTGCAAACTACAAATGAGAGATAAACTAAAGGCTCAACCAAGATGTGGTGTCTTAATGTCTTTAGGTATAAAAGTTATATTTTACCTACTCAACCACCTATTTTGAGACAGGTTCATTTATTTAGTTACTGGAATCCAACTTCTACAGGAGTGTTGAAAATTACTATTCACAAGCCAAGTTTGAATCTCTCAATTCAGAGATTTTCCTAATTAGAGATCAACAACACAGCAGTCGGGCTGGGGTGCCTTTGGGGTTGAGAATTCAACCTCAACCTTTTGGGGAAGAATGAAACTATTACGTTTTCCAATTTAACTTTAAACTTGTTTTACGAGGAAATTTCAATTTTGGTCATATGACTATAGATGTCTTGTTAATTTCAATCCCTGACTTTTAAAAGTGCCAATTTAGTACTTTAACTATGCAATTTTTGTCAATTTTAGTCACTCCGACTAAATTGCCGGCCAAATTTCGTCAGAAAATTTTAATAGTTAAAATAATGAGGATATTTTGGTCGTTTCACGCCTCTTTTCTTCTTTTCCGGCGAGTCCATCTCTTTCTCTCCCGTTTTCGGCGTTTTTTCTCCCTCTAAACCCTATCTTTAATATCATAAGCCTCATTTCCCCATCATCTTAGTTCGTTGCATTCACTGGAAATGAGAGAGGAAGGGGTGGACTCGCTTGGGAAGAAGAAAATAGACGTGAATTGATCAAAATATCCTCATTATTTTAACAATTAAAATTTTTCGGCAAAATTTGGCCGGAGTGACCAAAATTGACAAAAATTGCATAGTTAAGGTACTAAATTGACACTTTTAAAAGTCAAGAACTAAAATTAACAAGTCCCCTATAGTCATATGACCAAAATTGAAATTTCCTCTTGTTTTACTAAATCTAACTTTTTTTTAAGCAAATAAAGAAAAGACAATAGAAATACCTAACCAACACATCAAGCATTATGTACATGTTATTTCATTTAACATCATTAACAACTTAAAAAACGAAGAGTAAAATCAAAATAAATTTGTAAGGATACATATAGCAAGTATAATGTACAAGTTATTATTGCAAGTAATTATACAAACATATTCTTTATTCCTGTTTAAATCATCACAATTATTGGCATATATATATATATATATATATATATATGAGTTTGATACATGCTTGAGTAGTTCTAAAAGAAGTCATAAGAAACATCAGCAGCATATTTAAAATCCAGTACAACTAACATTTGCAAAAAGAAGAACATTCTTGGAGTCTACTCCAACAAGGTCCATCATCCTTTACATCCAAACCAAACTGAACCCATGGGGCTAACTTCATCATACTAAATTCCTACAAGGTTAAAAAAAACATTTGTTTTCGCCGGCCGCCGGTGGAGTTCCGGTGGCGGACACGATGCGCTCGGAAGAACCAGACGACATGGCCGGAGATAGTACGGTAAGGGGGGTAGATTTGCGGAGGAGATGGTGAGAGAGAATCGATAACCGCTCTGATACCATATTAGAGATGTCGATTCATTCAATTAACCAATAGAATAGGAATACAAAGTATATCTAAAACAGAACTCTAACAAACCCTGAGTAATTGACTATACTAATTCAGCTACTCTAAAGCCACATAATTACAATCATATAATATAAAGATAATGTGACAAATAATAATAATACTAACATTTTCAACTAGTAAAAAGGAGCCGGGCGTTGTGTTCATTGTTCAATAAAAACAAATTGTGCTTTCGTTCAATGCAAACAACTTGTGTTTTCGGAGATGCACGAGGAAAAACCAACAACCCCCTTAGGCAGCTAGTGACATCTTCAGAGTTATCATCAGCAAATACAATAATGAGAAGTCTCGTTAGTGTAGGAGATTTTGAAAGCAACATTTTCACAAAAAGCATTTCAAGTGTAGATCCACCTAACCCGACAATCGTGATTGTGTTAAGAATCTTCAAATCCTGTTTAATAATGCAACTGTTTGGATCGTGCATAAGTCTTGTACCCGTTGTTACATCACAGCAACATAGCTACAACACAACAACCATGAGGATGAAATTAACAAGGAATTTGTTGAGTTTGTCTCATATATGGATTAGGAATAGGAGTTTGTCTCATACTAGGAGTAGGAGTGAAACGGGTAGAGCTATTGTATAGGGATTATATGCCTATAATTATATTGGTTGTATCCCTAAGGAGTTGTGTCATCACTATCACCATCACTATGAATAAGAGTGCTCTGATACCAATTTGTTGAGATTAACCAGAACAATAAAACAATACTCTAATGGCAAAAAGGGTAAAGAAAGCAAGATTTACGTGGATGTAGGCACTTTGCCGAACCACGTAAATCTTGCCTTCTTTACCCTTTTTTGTCATTAGAGTATTGTTTTCTTGTTCTGGTTAATCTCAACAAATTGGTATCAGAGCACTGTTGAGATGGTCCGTTCAAGTATAAAATTCGAGGTATCAAAGTTTGATGGTACAGAGAATTTTGGGTTATGGCAGTCTAGGGTAAAGATTTGTTGCCACACCAGGGCCTATTGTATAGAGATTAGATGCCTATAAATATATTGGTTGTATCCCTAAGGAGTTGTGGTCACCACTATCCCATCACTATGAATATAACAATTGTTTCACTCCCGTGGATGTAGGCACTTTACCGAACCACGTAAATCTTGCCTTCTTTACCCTTTTTGCCATTAGAGTATTGTTTTCTTGTTCTGGTTAATCTCAACATAATTGAAAAGAAAACAATCATATATGATTGCCAAATATATGTATTCCAAAGGGGTTTTGTGTCTCAAAAATCATCCGCTCACATAGGATGGGGAATTCTGAAGCAACTGCAAAGCAAAGGCAAGCTGCTCTCGACATGAAACATTAAACTCATACAGATCAATCGCTTCCAAATTTATTGCAGTTGGGAATGTCACTCTGGCTATTTCTGCATTTTCACACTTCAAAAAAAAAAAAGAAAAAGAAAAGAGAGAGAGATTATATGAGCATTGAAATAACTCTGTCAATCCTTCCTACTAATCAATCCATTTGCATAAAGGAAGAGAATGCGAAAGTAGAGATTCTCACCGGCAGCAAATTGGGACTCCAGCTAAGGGTTTTAATTGTTTCCAAATAACACGTAAAACATCCGGATTCATCAAGCCTCCTCTCAAACAGAGAATCAAGAACAATATATCTTTCAAGTTTTGGACTGCAGATCTCAAAATTAGTGATCGCATGACAACTAAAGAAAGACAGCTCCTCAAGATTAGGAATAGTGTAGCCAATTCCCTTAACGTTATCACTAAATTGAACACTGCAGAAAACTAATGAAGTGAGGCTGGAAAAAATACATCCAGGGCGAGGGATCGGCAAATCGAAATTGAAACCGCCTAGAGTGAGTTGCTTAATTGTCCGGCACAAGAATATATAATATGACAGCTTATGGGAACGCAAAATAAACAACTTAAGTTCCTCTATACCTCTTCTCGAAAAACAATGACACCACAGATCTAAATCAGACTGTTGGGGCACAGGATCCGATGGACCGACAATGTTTAGAGTAAATTTCTTAACATTTCCAGCACGTTGGAAGGAAATATCATGTATTGCGCTAATCTGAGCCATTTCTTTCTCCTCATCATCATCTTCGTACCTTGAGGAGAAACATTCGAAGAACTCCGGATCAAACACAAGTCGCTCATGCAGAAACCAAACATTCTTCCAGTGTTTTGAGAGCACAGCAGTTCTGGCCGCTTCTCGAAAAGGCAAGCACTCCAAAATCCTTTCTTTCACTTCTGCTGGCAGTTTATTTATTACATCCATCCCCTGCATCCGCTTCGGATTTTCTTCGAAAAATAAAAAATAAAAATCGCTAGATTCGCATTCCAATCTCACAAGATTTTGGGAACAAAAGACATGTTGATGAATTTGGGAAGAAAACGGGAGAAGTATCAGAATCCCTTCCCGCCCTTTTTCAACTGTGAGTTTGGAAGAATACCGGGAAACTTGGTTGAATTAGTTATAATGGGATGTAGATTCTGGTTTAAACAATTTATAAATGGTGTCTTTTTAATATTGAAATTGGAAATTTTTAAAATATAGATTGTGTTTCTAAAGCAAATACATAATATAATTATAGAAGAGAATTTATGAATATAATTCAACGTCATCAAA